ATGTGCTTATAAAATGGTTACAATTTTTTTGCCATTGTCAGGATTAAAACCTGATGTCTTAACAAAATCAAATTCGATTTGAATTTGATTTTGTTTTCGATTCGAACTCACTCTTGATCCGAACTCGATTAGGAAAGGTTACTCCCGAACCGAATGGAAACTAGAAATAATATCGTACAAAATCAAATCCGCTAACTGTATCCGGCCTATCACATCACATACAAATGTTCCATGTTTATAACATCTTTCTTAGATAAAATTTAGTTGATTAATTTTTTCGGAAAAATTATTCGATCTTAGTTCCAATTAGAGTCACCACTCGATTGTGTACTGGCGTCAGATTTAGTGGTACGAACAGCCATGAATTCGAATCAAATTGGGTTGATTCAGAACTTGAATCTGTCGGGAGTAGGCCTTCCGGATTACCCACTGTCGACATCCTCTTGGCGCGAAAATGTCAACGTCATAACAACTTCTTGTTATTGAATTTTCAGCAATGCCTGAAGTCAGTGGCAAATTTACCAGCAGGCTTAGTAAGGTAGAGCCTAGGGCGACAGATTTTAGGGGGCGGCAAATTTGGCCCAATTTGGTGCAATTTCATTAACAGAATAAATTCAATAAATACGATTGCGAACTAGAGTATCGAATATTAGAGGTCAGTAGGGGCGGCAAAAGTTGAACAGCCTATTGGCGGAAATCAAATTTTTCCGTGTATATGAACACTGGAGATGTCGCCTTTGTTATTGAAATTTAATTTTTAACATAAGTGCTACTAGCACTTAAGTTTATTTTAAGTTATTACAATAAATTACAATTTATTACTAGTAATCATGATAATAATAATTTAATTTTTCATTACTAATAATCATTTATTACTACTTATCTGTTAGAATTCAGACGATTCCGTGCACAAGCGTCTTTGCCAACTTAATCGATATATTGACTTCTTGATTTTACACGAAATTTAAACAGCATTCATTGTCAGGACACAGTCTGTCCCGTGACCATGAACGCTGGAAAGGGTTTAAAACGTCTGGAATAACAAAATGAAAATTAACACGCGGTAAATTCCAGTTCCAAATTAGTTTCATTTAATAACTTAATACTTAGGTATTAAGATTTGCGTCTATATCTATATTGTTTTCATGATTATTGTTTTAAATCTTAATCTTTTTATTCTTAGATTCTAAAGAACACAACATTTATGATTTTCACGGTTTCATCTCTTAAATGCTTTTGTGTTAATTATGAATTTCTTAACGTTGTTGCTGCAGCATTTACGGAGAAATATACACTGAACTACAGCGTATTTTTTTCCTGTTGCCGCAAAGCATGAAATGAATTTGGTACGCTCCACGACTCATGACAAATTAATTCCAACCATGATTTGAAGGCGATTGCCCCATAGTATTCATGGTGTAAGCGCCACATATTTTTCTTGACTGAGATTTGATAGGTATCATGTAACCTTGACAAGGCAAACTAGAGAGATTAACGGTTTCTGAAACACTGATCATCGTAGATGTCAACTAATCAGTTGTCAAATGGTTTTCAAACTTCAGTTTCTCAAAAGGATGGTTAAACTCTTTGGATTGATCGTTCTGATCATTAGAAGATCATTCTGGTCAATTCAGAGAGTTTAACCGTCCTTTTGGCAACTAAAATGAAATTTGAAAACCATTTGACAGCTGATTAGTTGACATCTACGATGATCAGTGTTTCAGAAACCGGGCGTAAGGTTATTAAAATCCCACGTCTCATTTTTATCTTGAACTAAATAAGGACATACCGTGTATATATATATATTTTGCGCGGGGAAAACCTATCGTCTCTAATTAAAAAAAATAATTCATATCAACACTTGGCCGAACCGACCTATTAATGTGTACATTTAGTTACGAAGGCCTAACCAAATAATATGTAAACATGTTTTATTAAAAAACTACTATTACTCGTAGTTCTTGCCATATAGTCGAAAGCCACCTATTATCAAATGAAATCAAATCATTTATTCATCGAAATAAGCAATATACGTTACATACGATATTTATTATTTTCTTTATTATAATATTAACAAATAAATATCATCAAGAGACGTTTAAGTGTGTTAAAAATACTTCATCATAATTATAAACCAAAGTCGATGAAATACATTTTACAATGTGGTAATTGGGTGACTGTCTACAGAACCCGTTACCTAGCTCATTTAGTTAGATCTGACTTAACAGGCTCGAAATGTTGTACATAAATGGTTTTTTGGGAGTGTAGAAACAAGCCTCATTAACAATTTTATACGGTGATAATATCACCACGACTCGACTAAATAGTAAGTCGATTTTGTGAATGCAATAAGTATAAGGTCACTACGCTAGCATAGTATAAATATGTTTTTAATTTTAATTTCGAAATCCGTACTGATTTCATTACAAGTTCCTTGGCCTAAATGATTTGGACTAGTAGTCGTCCTTTGGTCGAAATTCGAAAATAATTTAATTGTACATTATCATGTATGTATGTAATGTTTTTAAATGGTTTAATGTATTTTTATGCATAATAAAAAATATTAGCATTCTGTACCCCTGCTCTATATAAAATATAAGCGTGGAAATTAATATATAGATTATGGACAGATAATAAGTTCTCACTTTATGATGTTCTCTCTTTCATTATTAAGCCATATGTTTACTTTCATGGGGCACAAAGCCAGTACAAAGCATATATGCGTGATCCAATCCAAGCCGGTATGCGGGTATGGTAGATCAGTCAGTTGGTCAGTAAGTTTCCCTTTAGCCAAGCAACTTATTTTCCTATTCCATTCGACGACGAACCTCGCGGTATACAAGATCAATAATATCGCACCCTATGTGAATCATTACGTTTTCGTCGGTCGATAAAACCATTTTCGTGTTTACCTGTTAGATAACAGAACGCTTGTTGATACAAGATAAAGTTATGTGACACATGGTTTGAACACCTGGCCCTTAGCCGTTTGTCATAGGTATACAAATATACATATTTCCTTTAATCGGATTGATTAATATTGATGGGAATAAAATAGCATTTGGCCGCTTAGTGTTTTTTTGAGCAAACTGTTAATTAATTATTTAACATTTCAATCAGAGTGCTAGTATTTCACACGTTTGTATGCTAATAATTCTTGGATTAATAAGGATTCTTCGATCAACTACACGGTATTACCATGGCAAATAATAACAACTTTATAACATTTACCTACAATTTTCCAAGGTATTTAATGAATTAAACAGTTATCATTTGCATTTATTGTCCTTTTCAGAAACAAAGAGTACTGGCACGGGGGAGAAAATTTTTAGTTATTTTTCTTTTGTTAATCTAAATAAGTTCTCCTTAAGTCTTACGTGCGTACAAAGTACACATTTTTTTTTTATTACCGGCGTGTTGTGCTTTGGGAAAAGTTGATTGGTTGATTTGATCAATTGATGTTAAACTAGACAGAAGAAAATATTACCAACAATCGATTACAATATAAGGCCTAGAATGCTAGTTGTATATTCTATTTCTCTTTTTCTTACCTCTGATCGGGAAAAGGACCGGATATGTAAAATTGATAGCTATTGATAGCTAGATTCTATTATTTACTGATCATTTTTATCATACATTATTGTTATATTGATATACATATATTCCATTTTAAATCTGTTTTCATATATTGTTTTTTAAATGCAGATACTGCAGAGCGAAATGTTCCGTAATTACATTAATCACTAAGTGTGAAAAGGCGAAATGTATCGACTAAGGGCGGTCGTTAATTCCATATTCAAGCCCACAACTTAGAGGTATTAACGTGTCGAGGTTCATAGCTTATTCATGTCACTCTGTCACGTCCGTTATTCGTTATTGCATGACTAATTTCTGTTTTTCAGTGTCTGAAAACAAAGTGACCTTTATTCGAGGTTATTCAAAATGATTTATGGCTCCGTCATGGAATATATGAAGAAGTCGGTAGCGACATTTAAACCAAAATAAAACGGGAAAAACCGTTAAGCAGTTATAATAAAAAATAACAAACTTATTATTTTTGGAATTCTTTATAAATACAATATGAAAATGTGATCACTTATTGAGTCGTATTGCATCAACTATTTTCTATATTTACTGGCATTGCGACTCTTATAACTTTCTACGAATTATTTTAGAAAAATATGGCCTCTCTTATCTAAGTGAGGCCATATTTTTCTAAATTTTCAGATTCATCTGAATAACCTATTCCTATATAACAAAGGCATTGTTTGTTTTACGTAGTCTTTGTATGCCTAATGCATACAAAGACTACGTAAAACAAACAATGCTACCATTAATTAGGTTATGCCTACCCGTGCTAAGCATAACCTAATCAACTAGTCCATTATATAGCAAATTTTAATCATAGATCGGAATATCAATCTTCAAAACATTTATTCTACGACCTTATGTATAATAATACAATACATAAACTTAAAATTAACAAAAAAATACATAGAAAAATTTTTAGGACAGTACAAAAGAAAAAAATATGTCATAAACATTAATAATAATAATACTTTAAATGACACAGATTTTGTTTTCCCTATCCGTATGGCGTGGGCACAACATGCAAATCATGTTGTCAATGACTGTATTTTTACGACCAGCCGCCTGTCTGACATCAACTCTCCTTGGGAGCAAACACCCAGATACGGAACAATTATGATTTGTGGTCACACTTGTCCCGTGTGTGAATCGAACTCGTGACCCTTAGCGCTGAAGGCAAATTAAACAACCGTGCCGCCGAATCATGAAACATCAATATTTTATTTAATTGAGTACACCTATCGACATCGATGTTAGGCATAAAATCGATACGAAATTACTACAGATTTAAATATCGAGTACTAAGCGGGCAAGTTTTTACCGTGTCGGCAGGAGAATTTTTATTTTGATTTCATACATGTACGATAGCGAGATTATGTCTGATGGAATTTTAAATTGTTGCATTAAACAGAATGGCACCGGCACAACAAAACGTGGAAGTGCGCGACGAAAGTGATGCGCAGATTAAAATGAGACTTATGCAAAGCAGCTTTAAAGACTCAAATGGTGTGGAACTGTGCGCGAATAATAATCCTGTGATACAAAATGGTGCTAGTGAGAAAATAACCAGTGATAAAGACTTCGACATAAGCAAATATGAGGCCATGGAATTTAGGCCGCGAATTAAGTGGCCTGATTTTATAGTTCAGCTGTCTCTTCATTCGGTTTCATTGTACGGCTTATACCTTATAGTGACAAACAGCGTTAGACTTTATACGACATTGTTTGGTAAGTTTTTATTAATTCTTGGTTATAAAAATCTCCTGAACTATGATATTTGTAACAAAATTTAAATAAATCTTATATGTTAATAAGATTACAAATAAGTGTTGTTTAATTATAAAAAAAATAACGTCAGTTGCTTTCGGTATTTGGGGAAGTTTTTATAAATTACCACATTATTAAAAGATTTTTTTTATATATTGTGGAATCGAAATCATAAACCACCCTAAATGCCTGCGTAATATGAGTTATAATGCATTATGAGCTTGATTTTCAATTAGGTCATGCTGTATTATAGATAAATCAAGTTATCTATTATCTACTTTTGTCTGGTTATCTGTCCTGAAAATTATAAACATACATTGATACAACAGAAAAACGTAATTTTTAAACCACTAGCTTAGCTATGACGGAAATTATAACCAAAGATATAGATAGCGCTACGATATAATAACCCAATGTTTGATTCTACGATTCGTATTAATGAAATATTGAATGTAACATTTAATTAAATGTAACATTAATGACACATACCTGAAAGCAGTGAATTCTTTTTTCTGATACAATGGAGCCGAAAATTTTAATAAATTAACTTGTGCATAAATTTCTTCTTAGCTTTTATTTAGTTGATCAAACTTCGCTACTTATCATGTGATATAATGCTATTATCATATTCTACACAATCTTAGCTTCGGAACTTACAATTTCAATTTTCATTTTTATTATATTAACGGGTATATTAACTTCTGCTTGCCTTCGCAAGGACAATAAAACAGTGATACCAGGAAGATATCCAATTTGTGTCTCTGAAGATTTGCTTTTCTTTTAAAAATCTAATTAAACGCGATAAAATCCGTAAAACAGTTTTGTCTAACAATGTATACAATTCGCGTAAAAACAAGAAATCAAGATTGCCTTTTATAATTTCACTTTCACTTCACTGGTTTTCTAACTGACATTGTGGTTGCGAACGGACGTTTCATTTCAGCTGAAAACTAGCTGTTGCAATTTGAACATTATTTTGCCATAAATCTTTCTGTATTGCTTTTTTCTATTTATTGAATCTGTCACTCGCTGCAATTTCTTCTTACTATCTGCATGTCGATTATCCTTGCTTCCTTATTTCCTTACTTTACTTAACTTATTACTTTATTTTATATACTATATACTTATTGTATATTATATATTATATTTTATATATTATATAATATTATAAACGTGAAAGTTTGTATGTATAGATGTATATTTGTTACTCTTTCAGGCAAATCCATTCAGTAAAATGGATTTTAATGAAACTGTACAATAATATAGCTTATAAATTAGAACTACACATAGGCCATAATTTATTAAATATTGTGTGAACTGTCATATTAAGATAAGTGTAAATTAATTGGGAAAACATTCTGTCATCTGCGAGCTATTCTGGTTGGTGTGCGCAAAAAAATTTTAATATATAATGAAAATTTTAATCCCAAATAGTCTTACAGTAAAGCCGACGACAGTATAACGACAGTATATAAATATATCTATTTGTAGTAACAAATTCATTCTTATCTATATCTATACTATAATAAAAGGGTATATACTAAAGGAAATTAAATTTACTATAATAAAAAATAAAACTCAATGAAAAAAAGGAAAAGATATATTAAAAAGCGACGGCTTTTTTTAATGTGAGAAGGGGGTAAGTGAGTTTTCGTTTCATCTAATGTTAAGTGATTTCCGCTGCCCATGGAATTTGGCAACAGCAGTATGGTTGCAGATCCGTTGCTACCATTTAATAAAGTGGGCTCTGGTTACCTCACTTGCAAAACGAAAAGCAGAATTGTAACACGTTCTTCTGCGAGGTCATGATACTTCGTAGGTAGGCCCGCTACCCATTCGTGCAACAACAAAGTCCTTTGCGTGGCCCTACCACAGAAACTAACTCAGGTAAAAGTGGGAATATTCTGTGAATACCACTCATTCGCAACAACTTCCCATACAAATTCAAGTGCACACAATTTCCAGCAGCATTTTGCTTCGTGATGACTAATAAGTATCACGGACCAACCCTATAGTCTGTTGGTGTGACTTAAGATCTATTTTTCCCAGGCAACAAGGCAATACCATGAATGTATATAAGGGCATATTTTTATGTATAACCGTCTTTCTGTCTTAATGTTACGCCTTCAGCCTTATTGTACGCAACTGAGTCGCGGGCATCAGCTTGTATATATATATATACATTCAAGCTCAGTAAAAAAAGGATAGATACAGCCTATAAGTGTCCCACTTCTGGTCAAAGGTCTAATCTATACAGAGGGTATCAGGGCATAGTCCACCTGGGGATTCAAGCTCAGATACGGTGTAAATTAATTTAAAGTATTGTACATTAGTACCAATTCGCTTTGCATTATTTTAAAGTAAAGTATACGTTTTCCTTTAATTTACAATAGGGACAAATTAACTAAAGCTCTTTACAAAAAAAAAAATTAAAACCTAATTAAATCCCCCCTCTCACTAAGCCTGTCTTATTTATACACCCTCATCATACAAGTGTACTCTCTCACGTTTGTTATTATTCGTATTATTTTTAATTCCCAAATAATTTAGTGCGTTTAACAAAAATTTATAAAATATTTCGTACGTAATAAAGTAAAATAATAACTTGCTAGATTATTATGCTAATTACTATATCAAGTCATGTTATGTCATGGTATGTTCTTTTCGTACGTAAATATTGTTCCTTCCATATTGTTGAAGAAAAAAAAACAGATCCAACTAAATCGTTCATTCAAGCGGTTTATACACAATATTACAATTGCTAGCCGTATGGCCTGTCTATAATATAGCGACACGCGAATCGCAATGCAATATGTTTACGGAAATAAGCGTTTTGACGCTTCCGCTATTATGACGTAAAATTATCCAATATCGTAGCAAAAATAACAAATTTTTTCACAGTATTTAAGTCAAGGTCCATTGATAAGTCTTAGCTAGGCCAATTACATGACGCGACGAGCACTTTAAATTACCAATAAAATTGTTAATTTAAAGTGCCGAATCACGTGCTCAGCGTCGAAAGAAAACATGCATATTTTCTAAATGATATAAAATAATATTTCGAAGATATGTCCGCACATCCGTAGTGATACCGCGCGCTCTGTACAGAAGAGCCCTTTGTTTCCCAGCAGTGGGACACATTTAGGCTATTACTTTACTTACACGCTCTGTATGCTTAATCTTTACTGTGGTGTTTAAAGTATGTGTGTGTATAGAAATAAATAAATAAAAGTGATTCATTGAACACTTAGTTACACATTTAATGGCGCCTTGACTCCCAAACTAAGATATCCTGTATTTCAGGAGTCAATCCCATCCCCTAATTAACATACACTTTTGTGCCAATAAACATAAAATAAAAAGCAAATTATGACAAAAGGAAAAAAATGTGTTTGTGTGTGTGTGTGTGTGTGTGTGTGTGTGTGTGTGTGTGTGTGTGTGTGTGTGTGTGTGTGTTGTGTGTGTGCGTGCGTGCGTGCGTGCGTGCGTGCGTGCGTGCGTGCGTGCGTGCGTGCTGCGTGCGTGCGTGCTGCATGCGTGCTGCATGCGTGCGTGCTGCATGCGTGCGTGCGAGCATGGGTGCGAGCGTGCGTACGTTCGTGCGTGCGTGCGTGTGTGCGTGCGTGCGTGCTGCATGCGTGCTGCATGCGTGCTGCATGCGTGCGTGCGAGCGTGCGTGCGAGCGTGCGTACGTTCGTGCGTGCGTGCGTGCGAGCGTGCGTGCGAGCGTGCGTACGTTCGTGCGTGCGCGCGTGTGTGTGTGTATGTGATAATATATTCATTCTTCAATAATATATGTAAAATGTCATAAAAAGTTCGTAGAAAGATTAAAGATACGTCCTGAATGCCTTATATCAACAGAGTTACAATTGTCTACTTTCTGTTACAGCGTTTGCAACGATTTACACATCGGGATTTGGTATCACTGCCGGTGTCCACAGACTATGGTCTCATCGGGCCTTCCGGGCAAGAATGCCCTTGAGAGTCCTTCTGGCACTGCTGTTTACCATAACTGGACAGGTTTGAACACATTATAAAGTACTTTCTCGGACCAAATGCAATGCAGCAGCAGATTGCATTGAGTTTCTCAAGCTTTGACTGTACAACAATGCAATGAAACCTCAGAAAGCAACATTTTGAAAGATCCAAACATTTTACGAATGAAAAATGACGTACACTATGTACACTATGATGTTGTCACCTAAAACAATATAAAATGTGTGACCCTGAAACTAGTTAGAGGAAATTATTCGTTATTATTAAACTACAAATGTCATGATAAGGAAATTTTGTATGCGCTATAAATGTCACAACAAGTACCTGGGGTCAACTCTTTTGAAGGTTGTCAACTTATCTTAAATGGCTAAAACATTGATTTCGGTTCAGTGGGTTATAGACATTACCTATATGACCTATACATTACATATATTACCAGAGAATTGCTCCTGATCTGATTGTACGCTGCTTATAAGAAAAGGAGGTAATAATAAATTAGAATAAATCACTACTTGATATTCAGTGCTAATGCACTGTATAAACACACTTCTTGTCGTCTGCCAACTTGTCAAGGTTGTTGTTTGTACGAAAACTTTCCACTACTGGGATGAAATACACCGTTCGTTTTAAATTGTGGACCGCGTTCAATGAACGAACCCGACTCATCTTTAAAATAATGTCAATTGTTTCCATTAACCCTTATAATTGAAAGACGTAGACGAAGCTCATATTCATAAAAAATATATGTAGCTCACAATAACAGTTTTAAAATTCTTTTTATGCGATATTACATCAAATCTTAAAGCTTATGTTTAAAAAAAAAAACCTGAACTGTTCCTTCTTTACATAACAATCGGTTATTATAATATAATTTTTAATTTTCAATAGCCACTTTAAGCAAGCACAATAAACAACAAATACACACTAAAAGTCGGTAAAATTGACAATTATAATTAATTTATGCCAATACATCTTACATTGCGAAATTAAATTACTTTCGCCTTTATATTCTTTGACGTCGACAAGACAGCGTGTCATGTCTCTTCCATCCATCTCATCCATTTAGTCTAACATGGTTTTATTATTTATTATTGTCTATAGAATTTCTTTTTTTCACAGCGTGACATATATACATGGGCGTTAGATCATCGGGTCCACCATAAATATTCTGAATCGGCGGCAGATCCGCACGATGTACGTCGCGGATTTTGGTTCGCTCACGTGGGCTGGCTTGTGCTCACGCCACATCCAGCTGTGGAGAATCGCCGTGCAGCACTCAGACTCACTTCTGTAGACCTGCTCGCCGATCCCGTAGTGAGGATCCAGAAGATGTTTGTAATTAATTTCTCAAACGCTCAGAATCATGACATTCTTTAAACATCCAAGCATCTCTATTTTTAGAAATTTTAAATTGTTTATAGTGCTAATCTTTGCACTTAAGATTGAACATTAAAATATGTAGAAAAAGTGCGAAAAGATTGTCGCCGCTGTGGGAATCGAACCCACATCTTCGGCATTAACGGCCTGACGCTCTAGCCACTGAGCTAAACGGCTGATTACCACACCGACGAAAATCTTAACGCATTCCTTCTACATTGTTTTCTTAGCATTTGAAGCAATGCTTGGCGCCATCTACTGTTATATCCTTTCCAGCATACAAACAACTTCGAATATCGTTTTACAACGATAATTCGAACGAGAGATGTCGCCATTGCTTTTTTAGAAATTTTAAATTGTTTATAGTGCTAATCTTTGCACTTAAGATTGAACATTAAAGTTTGAAGAAAAAAAATCTCTATTTTTGCTTCAACAGGACAGTAATTAAAAATGAAATAGAATTTTTTTTTCGTTGAACTATTCTACTTTTACGCGCTAATGAAGAGTATTTAATGTGCTTTTTATTTTCAGATTCTTCATACCACTTTTCCTGATATTGAACATTGTATTGCCAGTGTGGATTCCTGTTCATTTTTGGAATGAGAGTTTAATGAATAGTTTCGTAGTTAGCTTTGTTACAAGATTTACAATCACCTTGAACATAGCCTTCAGCGTAAACAGCTTTGCTCACCTCTGGGGAAACAAGCCTTACGATAAGTTAGATTTCGTTCTATTTTAATAACCATATTTCTACCTATAATTATATAATTAATACCTATAATTCCAAGTTCAGATACCAAGTTTAGATAAGATAAAATTTTTAGCTATTATTATTTTGTTATGCTTAAGATGTATAACTTCTTACCTCTGTACATAAGTACACACATAATTTTTGGCAAGAGATGATGTTAAATGATAACCGCCGTTCATGGACATTTGCAACACCCGTAAGGTTACAAATGCGTTGATACATTTTGACAAAATATGCGAAAGTATACTTCCACTTCACGTCGCTCTTCTATGAGTTCGTAGTAATACCCTGGACGGACCTTTATTTTCGTGCAACAATGAAGACAGCTATATAGTATTTAACCCTGCCCCAGGTAAATTAAATAAACGACTGTATTTAAAGCATTTTGCTTATGCTTATTTGAACCATATCTTAGTTATCACAACGATTCGGAATAAATGTATAAAAGAATCATTCAATTTCTATTTAATTTACTATAATATATTAAACATTGAATGGTAAAAAAAAATATTCTAGGTTCATCAAGCCCTCTGAGAATAAATTGGTGAGTTTAGCGGCACTAGGAGAAGGCTGGCACAACTATCATCACGTGTTTCCGTGGGACTATCGAACATCAGAGTTGGGTAGATTCAATATATCCACAAATTTCATCGACGCCTTCGCCAAGATCGGATGGGCGTACGACTGTAAGAACTAATTACCGTTAAAAAGATATTCCTCTTGTAAAAACGAACCTGTTCAATACATTGAAATACTCGTTTCGGCTATTATAAATCGTTAACGCCCATAACTAGAACCATAATGTTTTCTTAGGCCCAAAACTTACAATTATTTCAACCACAGTTCCTTGACCGTTTTTGACAAGACGAGTCTAATTCATTGGAGTGGTTTTTGATGGTCATGAACTCTGGATGAAATAAGAAGGAACTGAATAATATTTTAAGACTTTTGCTATGAAAAATCTATCCGCTTTTGTAATTGTATTATTCTCGAAATATTTCAGTAAAAGCCGCAACTCAAACAATGATCGCAAAGAGAGCCAGCCGCAGTGGTGATGGATCGTTAGAAGAGGAAGAAGAGCCACATCCTGATAACTTAAAGCTATAGAATAGAATGACCCAAGTGGAATTGCTACTTACTTGTTACAGTACATTGTCATTAGTAAACTAATACACGCGTTTTATTTAAAATAAAAATCTTTTTTATTTTAAATAAACCGCGATAAAATCCGTAAATTGTTTTATTAATGTGTAATATTCGCGTTAATAACATTAATTATATTGCAATTCTACAATTTTTTTGTTATTTAAAAATTTAGGCGAAAATGTTAAAATGATTAACATTTTCACTGTCCTGATTCGTTTTGAAACGTATTATTCAATTTATACGGTATCATTATGTTGTTTATTCCCTAAAATCAAAAGTAAATAGAAAAAAATAAGAGAGTTATTCAGGCTTGTTGTTCTGTCATTTCTTAGTATAGTAATTAAAAAAAGATACAAGGAATGTCATTAATTAATAAATCATAATTGCTAATTATTCTCAAGATTCATCAAGACTGTTTTGTGGTTATTTTTCTATCGAGTTAGATTTTAAGAACATTATGGATTGCTTAGAACAGTATGACCAAAGAAAAACCATATAATAATCTGCTTCCTAAAATTGTTATTAAGTGTCGCTAGTTTTATTGTTAGAAGTAAGTTGTTTTACATTGCATATTATTGAGGATTCCAATAGATTTTGTTTAATATAATCATTTGTATATACCCTCTGTATATACCCTCTATATATACCCTCTATATAGAGGAGGCCTTTGCCCAGCAGTGGGACATGTATAGGCTGTTCCTTTAATCATTTGTCATTTAAATCTTAAATTTGTGTGTTTACCACTAATTAAAATTTTAGAAACTATTACATTCCTTCATATGGTGCGTCCTTCAAGGGTAATGTGTGGTTCTTTGTTTCTTCCGCATTACCCACTAAGTAGTCTAGGCTGAGGAAAGGCTTGCCTTTACTTGTTACTCGGGCACTTTCAGTAACGTACTAATTTAAGAGAATCGAAATAATGAAAATTATATTTAAAGTAAATATTGACTTTATGGCCCACGTACGTAAGCCGTTTACGTTTATACATAGAGTAAGCCTGATTTAACAAAAACACAAATATAATGAGTAGATGTATATATATAAAGTGGTAAAGCTCAAATTTATATCTTTTAAGTCCATATACAAGTTTAAATATTTTTTTTATGAACTTATACTTTTGTACTGGGAAGATAAACGCTGATATTCGTCATCGGACCGGTTCAACGGTGGTAGGGCCACGCAGCAGCCTCGGCTGTTGCACGAATGGGCAGGCCCGTCCGGGTAAGTACCACGACCTCACACAAGACCAGCGTAAAGTGGAAGTATGACAAATACTTTCGCGTTTCGTCTGGTGAGTGAGGTTGCCGGAGCCCAATTTTGAAAAGGTTGTCAACGCATCTGTAACCCTCGGGTGTGGCAGATGTCCATGGGCGCCGGTATTCACTTAACATCAGGTGACTCGTCTGCTCGTTTGGCAGTATTCGCATAAAAAAAAAAAACAAAAACATTGTTGCAATTTTTAAAGCTAGTAGAAAAGAGGTGTTCATTAAAGCAGTATATTATCGACATTTTTCATTTATTTTAAACAATTGTTTTCGAGGTTATACTAGTCTTTAAACTATGTTATAACTTTCAATTTGACGTTTTAATTTTTAATGATAATAATAATTATATATATTAACAGTTTTTATACTAATTGCATTTGCATGTTATTTTAGTTTATATTTGTCAATCACAAATATATACTCATTGTAATATTATTTCATATATATTGTGTTTTTGCAATTTGATCATTTATTAATTTATCATTTGTTGTTACAATAATATAAAAATTGAATCGGTAGCATTATTGTTTGAGTGTTTGTTTTACCAAAACATGATCAGCATCACAATTCTCCTACCCTTATCCCACCTAGGTGAGGTTGGCCCAACATGTGAACCATGTTGTAAGCAGTTTTGGTTTGATTTTTTTATGATGACTGCCTGAAATCAACCTTCCTTAGGAAACGAACACCCAGATCCGAAACAATTATTTGTGGGTCACACAAATACTTGTCCCGTGTGAGAATCGAACCTACGACCAACGGCGCAAACGTTAAACGTTGTACCACCAGTATAGCATATCAATTTTATATATCTTGTGCCAAAACATATAAAATTAATATGCTTCCATGCCCTGCAGTCAGAAGCATATGAATATGTATAGAAATTTCCATTCATTGCGGCTCACGTGACAGCTCTAGAGACTCGTAGTTGTGGCGTGTCGAACACGCGCAGTAGAAAGTCGTCTCGAACCGCACGGCAACTCATACGTATCATTATTCTTCTTAATATATTGGAAACACCTTAAGATTCTATGTATATTACATAGAATCTCATGGTGATCAATATAACTCGGTAACCGGTATCGAAGTATAACATTTAACGCATAGTAGGGCCGTATCAGTAGCATTTTCGCCTTTTTTTCCAGTAGCCCTGGTATTTCCAATAGTAAGATCGTATTCGAAAGTTTCTTGTTATCGCACTTATTCACGCGTTCTTTTAATCATTTTCCTACAAGTTAACCTGATTTCCATTACGTTCTAAATTTTAAAGCATGCAAAGATGGTGTCTTTCAACTCATTACTCATGGCACTTAGCCCACTTCGAAATAGATGTATTTCCAGATATATTCTATTACATTTATTAAGAGATATATATTGTATATTCCTAGTTCACCGTGGGACTACTGTCTCCAAAATCTTGATCCTACGGGTGTATTAAAGTTGTTCCCTTTTTTTCTCTACTTTATTTTTGCAGGCGGGGCACATATTGATATCTTCTTTTCGGACAGGTTAAGAGAGCGTGATATGAAGCACATTTGCCATATTTGACGCCATCTGTCGCCGATAAATAGCAGCTGCAAGCTATTTTATTGAAGTTGATTGATAATATTGTTTGATTAATAATTTAATATATAGCACTGCAGCCAATGCCCAATAGATGGCACATGAACTAATGATATTTGGTATAGTATTGTTGATATAGTAAGGTAACCGGGGCCCACATTTTTAAGGTGCGTTGCCACCTCTTTAAGGTGGCAACGCATCTACAACCCTACGGGTGTTGCAAATGTCCATGGGCAGACAGTTATCACTTAACATCAGGTGAACCGTCAGCTCGTTTGCCACTTTCACACATAAAAAAAAACTAAAGAAATTCGCCAAAACGCGTACTCGAAGGATTGGTGGAGCAACGTGCGAGCCGTCCTGCCTATAGAAGTGTACGTGGATGGCGACAACGAGGCGTTGAGAGAGTCGTTGCACCTGGAATATAACGATTTTAGCTGTATTGAGAGGGCCTCCGCGCAATTTGTGCGATTAATAAAGTGAAAATTAAATAACCGACCCTACTGGTAATAGCTGAAATTTGTTTTGGTGGTATTGGTGTAAGAAAACTTCTTGTGTTGCTGTACGTTTGCGAGTACTACTCGATTCTGTGCATAGCGCATATTATAATCTCTCAATTATAGTTCGGAAGTCTCCTGAGCCAAGGAGGCAAGAATATCTTGGCTATCTATCTACTCCTATGAAAATTTTCCCTTTGGAAGTTAACCAACATAATAGTTGCAATGTTCTTTGGTGAAGAGAGTACAAAAAGCCCTGCTTCAATCTTTAGACAATAATTTAGACCATCGTTTTTAGATATTCCTTCTAAAGAATCGAGTTACTATTGCTTCATGATTTACCATCTAGTAACTTTGGCACACCAATTGACGACAAAATCTTACGGAGTGCTGAAGGAATCTAGGAGCACTGATTTGTCAACCACACTAATATGATTGTGGCGGCGATGTCGATAAATATGGTTTCCACAGCCGTGACGTGTTGTCTGAACAACGTCATCCGTAGGACTCCTGTACCCATCAATGCTATTTAAATTTTAGTCATGTGGCTTTTTCATCACGATAGCAAGAGACCCAACGTCTTTATTTATTACATGTTGTTGCAGCCAAGGCCCGATAGATGGCACAATAACTAATAACATTTATTAGTTGTAAGCAGTGTTCATGTGTAAACTGAAACCTTCGTGGCGCAGTTGTCAAGGTATTGGGTTCAGCGTCGGTGGTCGTGGGTTCAATACTCACACCGTATAATATTAACGTTAAGCTACAATTTAACAAAAATACGGTATACTTTTTGGGTACCTAAAACAAATTGAAAATTTTACTCTCAGAAATAAGAATTTATACAATCCTTCTCATTCGCAATCTATATTAGAATAAAAGAGTACCCAGAATCGGTCTCTGTGCATATAATGTATTTAATTTAAGAAAAAATGAAATATGATATCACAAAAATGGTTATAGGACACATAAAAACCAGTTTTGGAATATTTGTCTGTCTGTGTGTCTGTTTGCTTATAACTTCAACTACTTAGCGGATTTTATGCAATTTTCACTTCTTAAGCTTAGATTAAGGCAACATAAAAGTAGGTTAGGTTAGATAAGAGATACACATAAGATAGCCTCCCAAGGGTAAATTTATAATGGGTTAATGGATTAGTTTTACTATTTATTATAAGGCTGTTGTTGTGGAGGACTTATTGAACTTCGATGCTAATAGCAAACAGAGATTGCAAGAGTAGTAGGTGCCTAATTATGGAACACTTAAGATGTTAATAATCATCTAGTTGACATCTTATACGGGTACCAAAAAGAACTGTCGGCAAAAATTGAGTGACATTTTTTATACCATACCATATTTGACTAGCCCAGTGGATTTTAGATAACCTATTTAGTTGACTATATGGCACTCGAAGTAAACCTACAAAAACAGTGGGATGTTCCTTTGGTGCAGAGAGTACAGAAAAATATATTTCCATCTTTAGAAAGTAATTTAGAATGTGCCCGTTTCCTAGGCGTCTCATCCAAAGAATCGTTAGTTATTGGCTTCACACTTTACCATCAAGTAACTTGGGCACATTACTTGAAGATGCAAGCTTACGCATTGCTGTAGGAATCCGTTCGTAGGCACCGA